CGACCCCCTTAAAATAAAATTTTCTAAAGACGCATGATACACATGATAGGACATCAAAGGAGACAATGGAGAGAGAAAAACAGCGTATAACGTACTTGATGGGCTTGCGTAAATGGATGGAAAACAGGGTTTGAGAGAAAAAGCAAAAAGACAAAATTTATTAAGAGCTGCAAGGGACAAGATGTTGTGCCGTACCATGATCGCATATGTCATTAAGGTTCGCGTCGAATAAAGAAAAAGAAGATTCATAAGTTGATTTGGAAGTTTTTTTTTTGTTTGTTTTTTTTTTGTATTATATTTACTACAAATACAAACTTGTATCCTTCTTCCTGGATGAGTTCGTAACTTGCGCTACATAAGATATAATATTGATATTATAAAATATTAAAACAATATTACTTACCGAATATAAAATATTACTGCCATATCAATAATATAATTCTTTATTTACCGAATATAAAAATTAATATTATAACAATATTATAATAATATTACTTACCGATGCAAAATATTACTGCCATATCAATATTATAATTCTTTATTTACCGAATATAAAAATTAATATTATAACAATATTATAATAATATTACTTACCGATGCGAAATATTACTGACATAACAATAATATAATTCTTTATTTACCATATATGAAAATAATTTAATATTACTTACCGATGTAAAATATTACTGCCATATCAATATTATAATTCTTTATTTACCAAAATATGAAAATTAATATTGTAACAATATTATAACAATATTACCGAATATAAAATGTTACTACTATATATATATTATAATTCTTTATTTAGCAAATATAAAAAATTAGTATTATAACAATATTATAATAATATTACTTACTGAATGTAGAATATTACTGCCATATTAATATTATAATTCTTAAATTTAACGAATATTAAAATTAATATTGTAACAATATAATAACAATATAACCGAATATAACATATTACTACTACTATATATATATATATATATATATATATATATATATATATATATATAATAATTCCTTAATTATCGAATATAAAAATTAATATTATAACAATATTATAACAATAATACTTACCCAATAGAAAATACCACAATTACAACTATATTATAACGATAAAATTATATGCATAATCAATATTGTTATCTCGTAACAGCGCGTAACATACTTGATGCGTTTGCGTAAACGAATGGTAGAACAGGGTTTGGGAGAAATAGAAAGAAGTGAAAATTTATTAAGGGCTACAAGGGACAGGGAGATGTGGAGGGCTATGATCGCCTAGGTCATTAATATTCATGTCGCATAAAGAATAATATTCACATATGAGCAACTACCCTCGGGTAAGTTATCAATTCACCTATTCTTCCCGCAGTTATGGGTCAATTAAAAATCCTTGTCTCAGTAACATTATCATTATCATAAGGAAAAAAAAACACGCACAAAATATTTCGATTTTGGCATGAAATAACTCATAGATGTAGATATGACACTACAAAGAGAAAAAAAAAATATCTACCAAGCAACACTTGCCAAACATTTGAAAGTTTTTTGCATTATTTTTTAATACAAATAAAAACTGGGCTGAGTTCGTAACTTGTGGTACATTGGAAAAGAGAGAGAGAGGTCACTCTTTCTTTGTCGAAGGTAGATAGAGAGACCGGGGAAAATGCCTCCTTCCATGTCACTGACGCTGGTGGTATCATGGCTATGACGAGCTTGGACCGGCTCTGACCAGCTAAGTCTAGCTGTAACTAGCATAGACCAGCTCTGACCAGCTTGTACAAACTCTATGACCATCTTGGACCAGCGGCCCGAATAGAAACACTCGGGTCCCCACGTTAAATATTGATCTTGTGTTGCAACCTGGCTCAGTGGCGGGTCAAGTAAATGTCTTCTTTATAGCAGGTAGCCATACTGATTGGTTCTTTATTGGTTAGAGTGGAGTGAACCTAGTATGTCCTGATTTCTGGCGAAAGTGTAGAGAAGACTGGGCACGAAGCCCTATTCTTCTTGCGTTTATATTTAGGTGGTAAGTAGGCGAGGAGTGTGGTAAGTGTGGATTGGATTATCCTTAGTTTTGTAATGACTTTTTTTTCCGCTTATCGAACTATCTGGTTTCAGAAACGAAGTTAGTTGATTGTCCGTGTTTGTGTTAATGAGGCTTTCACAGTATTCAGCATGGAGAACGTTGGGCTCATAAAACACCACTGACAAATTTTAAATGTAAAACCCCTACGTCCTAAATGGGTTACGGGATGCGTACTTGAATATGATGGTAAGTAGAAGGTACTTTTAAGGAAATTTAAGAATTTTTCCATTCTTTTATTTACTATTTTTGGCCTAATACTAAATGTATAAAGTAACGGACATTTTTATTTATTTACTTTTTTTTAAATATTTTTAATCAGTATCACCCCATGAAAGGCAATAAAGCCACCAAGACACAATGGGTTACAGGGTGTGGAAAAATTAAGGAAATAAACATTAATAATGAGCGGGATGAGAAAGGAGTAATCAGGAGGACTGCAGTTAACAATGAAAATTGCATTTAAATTTTTGCAGATTAAAGTTGGCTGGAAAGCATGGAGACGGAAGTACGAGAGAAGAAACTGAATTTACGGCTAATCTAGCAAGATTAACTGTAAATTTATGAGATCCGGATGCCAGTCAAGTACTGCGCTTAAGTTCGAAAATGTCTAGCTACCATGGCGAAGAGCGATATTTATTTGTAATTTAGTTACAAAATGTGGCACATGGTCAAAATGTAGAATGTAGGAACAGGACGGTTTTTAGCTGTCTTAACGTTAAACTTAGCTAGCCTCAAACACTGATGCAAACATTCAACAATATTCCTTACACCAAAACAATGCATTCTTACGTACCTTTCTTACTACATTCACCATAATATCTCATTGTCTCCATGCAAGTCCTAACTAAACCCCATATGCACAAGCTCATCCGAACAATTACCATGAAAATATTTATAGACAACACATAGGCAAACTTACGGCGATGAGAAAGAGACTGAAGCCGAGGTACCAGATCAGGACAAATCATATTGCTGATTCATCTTTGGATTTTATCAGAAGGCACAAAATAAATATCATTAAAATTATTAAACAAAAATAATTTAAAGTAGTTTAAGAAAATTTATGTCTTGTCACATCAAAACTACATGATTTGTTTTAATTAAAAAAAAAACAATTTAACATGTTCAAAATGATTTTCTTCATGTTCATTCAACTGCTGAATCCTATCAGCAATACTTTTACAAAATATTTTCTACATTTCTATATGACTTTCAGAAGAGCTATCAGAACGCTTATTTTTATTTAGGATGTTTTTTTTCGATATGAGCCTGTAAAAAAAAGATCTTTCAATACACCGCACTGGAAAATACATGGTGGTGTTCAGTCTGATGATTGTGATGACCAATTGATCTCCATATCACCTTATCCACCTAAGCGTGAAAAAAATGGAGTTACTTTTGCCGCACCCTGTATATTATAAGTTGTTCCTCTAGATTTGAAAATTATTTCTGCTTCAACTAATGCTAAGCAAATGCTATCCCCTACAAAATTCTGCTGAAAAATCTTTTCATCTTCAATTCTACGTTAAAACATCTTGTGTTGTACTTAGGGTATGTCGAGTTTGGAACAAAGGAAAAACTCGAAATTTTACATAAAGAAATCCAGTAAGAAAAAGTCTAGGAACAAGAGAGTTCGATAATGAAAGTAGTATCAAAAGATGCAAAGGTAGAAAAACAGGTTATTAAAGATATTTCAAGAAAAAGTAAATACTTTTATAAAGAAAACAGAAATCCCAGTGAACAAGATCTTAAATGCGATTAAGAAAATGAAGAAATGAAATGCATAAAAAGGAAATGAATAAAAAAAACGAAAGAAATATCGTCGATAATAAAAGAATAATAAAAACAATACCAACATTTCTTTAAAAAGCTTAAACAGGGAATTTGAAAAGGAAGACTGAATTAAGATAGAACGGACTGTGATCACGCCAAAATGAAAAGAATAATCAGGATAAAAAAATTGAAAGGATGCAGACGATACAAAAAATTCCAAGGGAAGTAAAAAAAAAAAAAGGAAATAAAATGAGAAAAAAAAATGCGGTAAATGAAGAAAATGACAGAGAAAGGGAGATTCAAATATTCAGATAGAAAGAAACAAAACAAAATGTCGACGGGAACTGCTGTCTCAAAATAGATTAATCCCACATCGTAATTGTTCAATCTCCAAACGTGAAGCGTCCACAAACAAGCAATTATTTCAAGCGCGCCATATTTCGGTGGGAATCCGAGAAATGAAACGTCTGCAACAAAGCCTCATTCCATTTTAATCCAATGTTTTATGTTTGAATTCTTTATTGCATTCATTTTTCTTTGTTACTTATTTACATGCATTTTTTTTCATTTTCGATTAGAGTCTTATTACTGTTATATTGCTGTTTTAATTTTTGTTCAGCCTTTATGATCGTCAAAATGAGCATTTTATACATTTACATATTCATTGGGATCTGAAATGCAACAGATTCCTATTTAAGCCAAGGTTTAACACCTTGTTTCATAAGAAAAAAAACATAAAATAGTAGAAAAAAATAAAATTAATCGATAGAAAAGAAAGAAAGAAAAAAGTGTGAAAGAAATAACAGAAGAACATATTTCGTTCATACGAAATGAAAATAATTTAAATCAAGCTGTAATAACAAAAAGACGTTAAGGCTATCTCAATTTATGGTTAAGATCTGTTTGTTTGTCTTATTTGTCATGTAGCTTCAATTTGTTCTCGCTAAAAATGACTTTTTGCAATTTAATTTTTCTATTTCCTATTTTATCAAACTCGACATTGCTGTCGTCTCTTGTATTCCTCTCGCATCTCTCTAGCTGTTTTCTCTTTGCGTATTGCGTCATTTTTTTTTCGAAGGTCCATGTATCTTCTTTTCCTTTGATATTATTTCTGTCACCAACCTCGACAATGCTGTCGTCTTCCGTCTCTTTCTTGAATATTTCTAACTGTCACTCTCTCTTGAGAATTGAAATCTTTTTTTTTTTTTTCCAGGGGCGCATGCATGTTCTCTTTTCAATTGTATTTCATATTTCTGTTTTCATAAAATCCTCACGACTGTCTTCATCGGTGTTATGTTTTTTTTTTTTTATCTCCCAGCCATCAGAGTGTGTCACTTCCTCTTGAGAAATTTTCCTTTGTTGCGAAACGTGTGTCTTCTCTGTTCATTTGTGATACTATATTTAATCCGTTTTACTTTATCTCCCCCCTCCCCGATTTGCTTTTTCTTCATTGTATTCACTTTAAAAAAAAGGTTATCTTTTCTTCTTTTTTTTTTTTCTTTCTTCTTTCTCTCAATATTTTTCTTCGCTATCATTGTTCTTTATTTGTTCCCTTTCTTCGTCCTCTTCGGAGTTCTTTATACGTGGATTTTCCATTTTTTGTAGACACTCATTGTCTTTAATGATTCATTTTTTTCATGATTGATATTTGTTTCTCTTCATCTTATTGCTTTCCTTCCTGTCTTCAACATAGTTTTTTTTTCTTCCTCTCATTTGCACCTATGTCATTTTTGTCATCACATTCCGTTTCTATTTAATATATCAGTTGTTATCTTGCTTCGTATTATCCGCTTAATTCTCATTTGATTTCTTTCTTTCTTTTTCTTTCTTTCTTTCTTTCTTTCTTTCTTTTTCTTTCTTTCTTTCTTTCTTTATTTATTTCTTTTTCTTTCTTCCCCTCGTTTATTATTTCATCATCACCATCATCATCATCACCATCATCATCACCACCATCATCATCAGCAGCAGCAGCTTCATCACCACCATCATCATCATCTATCTATCTATCCTATGACCACAAATCTGGGTTGAAAACAAGTAACCTGTTCTTTCATGCGTAGCTTGTCATGGGCAGGTAGATATTATATTGATTATATTCTATAATATCGAGTTTTGTTGTTTTTCTTTTTTTTTTTTTGGTTCTTATATTTTGTGAAGCACGTAACGTACACTGATCCCTTATTCACCTGGCCTGTTGCAAAAAAATGTCTTGCATGGCACAGGTCAGTGACGAAAAAAAAAGGTTGGGTACCGCTGCAACCATTTCCCGGCGTCTGGGTTACATGCTCCGGCTTGAGGTTTCTTCTACTTTGATTGCTCAATAACAACTTTATAGTAAAAATTTCCAGAAATATATTTCAATAGTAAAAAAAAATATATATTCAATCAATAGATTTTAAGAAAAAAATTCCATCAATAGATTTTAATAGAAAAAACTTCCAGCAATGGATATTAATAATAAAAGATTGTCAATAGATTTTAATACTAAACAATTCTAGCAATAGATTTTAATACTAAAACTTATAGCAATTGATTTTAATAATAAAATGTTCTAGCAATAGCTTTCAATATTAAAAAAATTCTAGCAAAATAGTTTAATAATAAAAATTCTGGCAATAGATTTTGATATTAAAAATTCTAGAAATATATTTTGATATTAAAAAAATATATCAATAGATTTTGATATTAAAAATTCTAGAAACATATTTTGATATTAAAAAATTCTAGAAATATATTTTGATATTAAAAGAAATTCTACAATGTATTTTGATATTAAAAAATTCTAGAAATAGATTTTAGAAGTAATAAACAACAATAGATCTTGATAGAAAAAATAACAAATCTCCCAAGAAAATTAAATTTCGCCATTAAATGACTCATGAGGAGGTTGATATGCCATTAAACAAACCAAATCAAAACGTTACTTTCATTATTGATCACATTTGTGATTTCTTGACTGGGGATATTTTGGCTCATGGAACAGGGTTCCTATCAGAACCGAACCGATCACATCAAACAAAGAAAAGAGACTGCAGAAATTCCTCGTCATTTATACATTACACGACACATACATTCAAGATGGCAACACCTGATATTTCCAAGCAGTCACGAATTTACATACTGACCAGACTCGATGTTGCTTAACTTCGGTGATTGTACGGGAGCCTGAATTTCAAAGAAATGATAAAAGAAAAATGATGCAGATTGTGCAGGGAAATCTTCAAACAGCCATTCGCAAATTTTGAATTCAGATGTGTCCTTCTCTTATATTGGTTGCCAATCAACGCAAAATAATGTAGTAGACCATGCTAATTAAAGAATACGTTACGGATTGAAAAATATTTATTTAATTAAAGTTTTGAAATTAATTTGTGGGCAATATTGGAGGGGATGCAAGGAATGGCTGGTCATCACTTACAATTCTACACCAGGCTCATGTGATTGACGACTCGTTCATTCTTACAATTGACTGAATTACCACAACATGTTAATCAGCATTTAAACAATGTACCACAATACCGAATATTCACAGGGATCCTACCAGAAATAGCCATGGCATAAAATGCCATATGTTCATTTCATTGAAGACTGAAAACTGAACGTTTACACACACATACGAACATGCACAGATACGCTCACATACACACAGACACACGCACTCACACACATATATGTGAGTGTATTTCAGCAGCATGTTTTCATTCAGACAGGTTTTGTTAAAAAAAATTAGACATGTGTTGTCTACTTATTTTCAATAAGATCCTTCATATTCTTGAATAGCTTTTTTGCTGTTGTTAAAGTGGTAAATATACACATACATTTTATATATATATATATATATATATATATATATATATATATATATATATAGTTTATAAAAAACTAGGTAATCCGTATGGGTAAACCTAAGGAGGATAAAATCCAGAGAGCTCAATGTAAATCCAGAGCAAATAATTTAAATAAAATATATATATATATAATATTAGTGGTAGGAAATTTGAATACACATACATTCTTTTTGAATTTGTAGGTTTGATGAATTGGATCGTATTCACGATTCCAATGGAATAAATTATGACCATAGAATATTAGTGTTTAAGCCTTTTTATTATATATATATATATATATATATATATATATATATATATATATATATAGAGAGAGAGAGAGAGAGAGAGAGAGAGAGAGAGAGAGAGAGAGAGAGAGATAGATAGATAGATATATAGATAGATAGAAAATGGTAAATCGTATCAAATTTCCAAGAGAAAATATATATATATATATATATATATATATATATATATATAATCAAATATTTAGAGTTTTCTCCACCCGAGATTTCACTTTTATTTATATAATTTTATAACTTCTTCTTCTTCTTCTTCTTCTTCTTCTTCTTCTTCTTCTTCTTCTTCTTCTTCATTTTAATCATTCTTTTCGACTCACCTATTCCCTCTTATCCTCTTCATCCTTTCAAAAATCAATTTCCTTTATAACTTTATGGGTTTAGATTTCATCCATTTTCATTTACTGAATCCTACCAAAGCAAATACACAAGTCTTCCCTTCTACAACGCCGCCTCCATAATCCAATATTTTGCCGCCATCGAAAATCAAGTCATTTTTCCTCGTGAAACGAAACTCACAGCAGTTTCGTCAGATTCCTTCATTTTGATCATCAAATCCCCCCCTTTCTCTTTTAGTCTTCTTTTGTGTCTCATTCAATTGTTCCTGTCTTCTGAAATACCTTTCCAACCCAATGCCATGCAAATTGGATTCCAAGGAAATAGCGTTTACAAGACTGACCGTATTTGTATGTGGCTTGGTGCGTTACATTTTTAGTTATCATTTTAACGATCTGTTTATTCGCTTTTTGAAGAAGGAAAACTATTGTGATTTTTAAGCGTGGCTTAGATGTGGCACAAGGCCGAGAGTATAAAGAACAATTATGGATAATATGCATAGATAAATCATCCCTCCATGGATTGCTTTTTCCAAAGAAAATCTGGGAGAATTTCACAGTTTGACGCAGAAGAGTGAAATAATTCCCATGACTGCACCATAAAGTCTTTAAAGTTAGAATTAAGGATACAGTCAGTTAAGTGCCATACGCGAAAAATGCTTAGGCAGTCCAGTTTCTTTCGATTCATGATTCCTTAAGCAAAAGACATTCCCGCAGTAGGTAGTCATATCTATCTGCGATAGATTATCTTTTAAGTTAACATAAGTTCCACTGGAAATCGAACTCTTCTCTCTTATTTCGCATTCCAAGACGTTATCCGTTAAACCATCCGCACATCCTATTAAGGAGTGACATATTATTTCAATAACAATGGACGGTCGGAAGGTGAGATGTGATGGGCGTAGGTTTTCTGGTGAGTTTTCCTTCTTCTAGACAGCAGCTCGTTATTAGACGTCTCACAGCTTCTCGAATGGTTTTTGGAAAATATGAATGACTACGGTGATATTTCTCCTTTCCTTGCTTGTGCATTATGTAAGATTTGCAGTTAGGTTGTTGTGAACTGCGAATGTCTGGGGAAACTGACAAGCTTATATCTCAATCTCCGACAGACACAGGATTTATAACGAGAGACAATGAAATACTTAACAATGATGTTGTATTTAACCTGTATTTTCAGAATTACGCGCAGGTTTTTTTTTTCCATATCACGTTCCACTACTCTTAACCGTTTCTATAAAGAAATGTTAACAGTGTGTCCTGACATATATATATATATATATATATATATATATATATATATATATATATATATAGTTTTTAAAGTGTGCTATATCTATGGGATAAAGTGGTCAATATCAGAGCTAGAGCGTATATAAATATAAATATAAAAGTGGACATTGAAGTCAACACTCAGAGGTGACAGGCTGTTTTTTATGCTGGGCGCCTGACGATTGCGTTCAGCATGAAAGAGCCTGTCGCCTAGAGTGTTGAGTGTTGACTTCACTATTTTCACACACACACACACACACACACACACACACACACACACACACACATATATATATATATATATATATATATATATATATATATATATATATATATACATTCGACTCTCTCTTCAAGCAGATCGGTTCCGAGTGCCGATCAGAGAGACCAGGTGCACTACGTGCCACAAGGTCCCCAAACGACCCTCCGCAGGTTTTGAATTCAGAGTTGTCCTTCTCATAGGCTAGTTGTTATCCAAGGCTATAGAACCCAGTCTGCCCTGCTATTTACCCATAGCCGGAGGGAGAAGAAGACGATTCAAACCTTCCCAAAGGTTATTAGTACATACGTGAATGTAATGCATTCGAATGGAATTCAAACTCGCCTCTCTCATCCCTCAATCCAAGTCGCTATCCATTATGCCACCGTGCCTATTTATATATATAAATTCCCAAGACGATAGAATCCATGTAGAACTCTATGTACAGGACAAAGTATGAAAATAATATAAAAGTCTCAAACACTAATAATTTATGTATACAATTTATTACATTGGAATCGTAATGACGATCCAATTAATCAGACCTACAAATTCAAAAAGAAATCGGAAAATATAACTCCTGGTATAAAAAGAAAAATTTATTGAGAGTGTATGTGTGGGAGTGGGAAACAATTGTGACAGAGAAAAATGTATCAAAGCTTTTGAGAAAGGGTTTAATAGAAGAAAGAAGAACAGGAAGGCCTAAATGTGAAGGTGGGGATTTAAAATTTAACAGAAGTTTTAAAAAGAGGAGTTAAATAACGGTTTAAATGAGTGAGATCTTACTCATTTATACTGTTATTTAACTCCTCTTTAACTTCTCTTTGATATGTATATTGACCACTATTATTATTATTATTATATATATATATATATATATATATATATATATATATATATATATATATAAGTGAACAATGAAGTCAACACTCAGAGGAGACAAGCTGTTTCATGCTGGATTCAATCGTCAGGCTTCCTGTCGCCTCTGAGTGTTGACTTCAATGTTCACTTTTATATTTACATTTACATACGCACTATTTCTGATAGTGAGCACTTTTTCCTATAAATATAGCACACATTAAAACTATATTTCTCCGTCTTTATATATATATATTTTTTCTGTGCCTTTCTCATTGTAATTTATGATAGATAATATAAGCTTTATTTAATAAGGATAAGAACTAAATTCAGAGACTTTTGAGACACACGAATTAGTATTTATTTCATCCACATTTCTTTTGGTACCTAATGAATATTTCTTGTCCTCACGTTTTATTAACATTTCTTTTTTCCATTTGACGATAGTAACTAATTCCCCATTTTTTCCTTTTCCAGAATGAAATTTTGAAAACATTAATTCGCTAATTCCTACGCCCTTAATCGATTTCATTTCAAACCAATTTTAAAAACTGAAAGATTTCGGCGTGGAGAAGTAAAAAAAGCAAGCTAGTGTTGATGTTCTCATTTAATTTTAAATTTTAGAAAGACAGAAAATAAATTCAAATTCTGAAGTAAAAGGCTTCTCGAAATGTGAAAACGTTTAAATAACTTTCGTTTTAAACGGATTTTTCTTTTCTTTTGTATTTGTTTAAAAAAATATGTTCTGTTCCCATTTTTTTTTTCATTTTTCGCATTTTTTAAACTCCATTTCCTGACTCATCAATTTTTTTTTACATTAAAATTTTTTTTTTAGCTTTTATTGTGCTCCCTAAATAAGTGGACATTTAATAGAAAATTGAATAAAAAATCACAAACTTAAATTAGTTAAAAAATCTAAAGACAAAAACAGGCGAGGATGTTAACTTTGCTTTTTGGATCCATTTCATTTAAAATTGAAATTCTACGAAAAAGACGAAATTGAAATTCCAAAAGAACAATCGGAAAAATAGGACATACATTTCTTAATTAACATTTTAATTACTTTTTGCAAGCATATCAAAACATTTTCAAAAAGACAATTGAGTGCTTAATTTTTCATGTAAAATGTCGAGCAAGAGAAGCCCTCTTCAAGGTAATTAAAAAAAAACATTATTTCAAAAGTTGGTTCCTTTCAATCCTCCAAATGATCAGAAAACATCTAAATGTCATATTTGTTTTTTTTTGGAAGGATCGGAAACATTTATTGAAGTGAAAGTGATAAATCTAGTGATGTGAAAGTTGGCAAAAAACAATCAAATATGGATTTTAAATCTCATGCAGATAATCTCTGTTATGACTTCATTTAAATATAGCCAGTAAAAAAAAAGTTATATTGGTTCATCGTACTCTCCAGAATTTTGGTGATTGGTCTATTTCAATTTTGGGAAGGATGACATGCCTCCTGATGTGCGGTGAAGTATAATGGATTGAGATTCGGAATGAGAAATTGGAGAGCCCATGTGACGTCCCTAACCTTTTGGTGATTCGGATGGGAATCTGGTCAGATCCGATATCAGCCTCGTCGTTCCCAACTCGCTTCCAACGTCTGGTTACCAAAGTAACTGCGTTGATCTCCAGTCCGCCTACCCACGTAGTGAATTGATCAGACGAAATGCAAGTTGAGTTCAAATGAGGGTGGTATCGCACAAATATGTGTAAAAGAAATAAAATAATAACTCAAAAGTTCAAGGTATCAAAAAAAGGATAATAATACTTTATATCTAGTTGCTGGATACATAGAACTACGTATATCTCCCGATCCGCTATATGGATTGTGACACGTTGTTTTTGTTAGGTGAGTTTTAACATCTTAAGTTGTCTGTTCTTTAAGAAATTGGTTCTTGGTGTGTCTTCAGGCGATAGTCGTAAAACTTATTTTGGTGGTATGGATCTAAGTCGCTCTTCAAAAATAAATTGTTCTTGGATTGAAGGTGAGTTCGGAAGTTGCGCGAATCTTTCAAGTCAGCTAGTGCGAGGCGGGACCCACTTCAACTGCGAACTGGAAGTTGATCCGAACTGGACTGAACTGGGAAACTCTCTCATTTTCGCTTGTTGCGACTTTGCTTATATGGACGCCGACCCAAACCGGTGTGGGTTCGTCGGGGTCTGAGGTTCCTTGATAATTCCAAATCCACAATCCCCTTCTTTTGTTTTCGGTCAGGAAAAATTTATTATTTCCATTTTTGGAAGTCTTCTCTTACCCCTACCTTCAGAGGGTGTCAACGATCCTCCCACTTCTTTGCAGTAACATCTTATACCTATCCTCTCTAAGGAGTAGTAGCAGGCCTCCTCCTCTGCATCACATGATCACCTCCGCCTGTCTCTCGTTAACATTCATCCAATGGTCGATCAACAGTGTGGACGTGACCAGACTAGCCTTGTTTCTTAAAAAAATATCTTGCTCAAAGAAGAAAAGAATTATCTCCTCTTTTTTTTCGATTTCCTTTCCTTCTTTTCTTTTCTATTCTCTCTTCTTCTCTGGCCGCCAACAGAACAATGCGACCAGTAGTGTGATAACCTCAATTCTCATCTGGACTTCGTCAGTCAGATTTTCGCCAGTTATCAGTGTGGGAGGTCGTCCAGCAAATACGGCCAACCTCTCCGATAATATTGTTTCGCTCTTATCGCTACATTCTAACAAAACCCAGACCTTGTCTAACGATATCTTTCCCTCGACAAAAACTTAACCTATTTTCCTTTGTTTTCTTTAGCTTGTGGGTGGTCAGGCATTCCTGTGAAACATTTAAATGTTTATCTATTTATCTGGAATTTGTCAATTAGATTTTCGCCAGCAACAAGTGGCTGTTATCCATTCTGTCCCGGAGTTTAGCTAGCCGATCTGGAATTTGTCAATTAAATTTTCGCCAGCACCAAGTGGCTGTTATCTATTCCCGATAATATAAGTTCGCCACCACGACACAGTCAATTTTTTTC